GACAGGAATGTCTTGATGGTCGATTGGATCAGTGTTTGCGGATCCTGGTTGGTGGATATGGCAGTCAGGAGGTTGGTTAATAAGTTTAGAATGAGGGTTAAGTCCAGTTGGAGGGCTGGGGAAATACGTGAAGTATGAGGTGACCCTGAAGTAGCTGAGAAGTAGGAAATTGTGGAAGTCGGTTGAGGGGCTGAAGATGGTGGAGAAGATTTGGGTGGTTGTTGGATTTATTGTTGGACAGGGCGTTGGGATTGTGGAATTTGAATGATTGGGACCGAGATTGGGGGTGGGAGTGATTTTTGCGCTAGGAAATGTGGACAACCACGGAAATTAGCGGTATGTGGGCCGCCGCAGTTGGAGATTCTTCCCGGGTTTTTTTACAGTCCTTAGCAGCGTGGTTGCCAGCACATTTGACACACCTCGGCGGGTGTTTGCAGTTCCGGGAGCCGTGGCCGAAGCGTTGGGGCATGAGAAGCATTGGGAAGGTCCGGAGGATTTCAAGGGTTCTACTGAGATGGAAATATAAAATAGGTTGTTTAAAAGAAAAATGTCTTTAGCTTTAGGGTCTGCGGCGATGTGGACAAAACATAAGGGCATTGGTTTGTCGGGAGTGTCAAAACGGCGGATGAAGGTGGTCGAAAAGCCGAGGGTTTCGAGTTCCTGTTTGATCACGTCGACCGGGATGTCACTAGGGATTCCCTTTAGGACGACCTTGACAGAGCGTTCTTCAGGGAGAGAGAAGGTGTGAAAGCCGGTTCCATATTGTAACAAGGTACTTTGAATGAGACGGAATTGAGTCGGTTCGGTGGTCTGAAGAGTTTTTGATTGCTTGTTGTTGCTTTTGCTATTAAGGTAGAAGGTGTAAGGTTTGCGAGCCCGTAGATGGCAGACGCGACCTTACGCCAGGAGCTGGAGGTTAGGATGATGGGCGGAGGTCTGGAGTTTGTTGGTTTAGTCGGAGGTTCGATTGTAGGAGTGGCTAGGGAAGGAGAGGTTTTTGGTACGGATGGTGAAGCGGGTTTAGTTAACGCAGTTAAGGTAGGAGCTTTGTTGGAGGAACTGTATGACATGGTGGAGGAGCTTGATTCAGAAAGGGACTCGATTGTCTCGGAATCGGAGGAGTTTGGCGGTGGTGAGTGGGAGGGAGGCGCTGAGCGT